TCTAAATTGTCTAGTGAGAACTTGTTAGGATTGCACTTTGATGATATTGAGCCACTGATCTTTTTGTATGTAGTGGTCCTTATATGTATTCTTGATTATATGTAAATAACATGGTGTCCTATATATATAAATATGTATAGTTATCTTTCTGTAAAATGTATGAGTTAAATTAATTATTATGTTTATCTAGGTTATTCCATATTCAATTTTCTTTTATTTTTGTTATTATAACGTCTCGCTCTTTTATACATCTAATAATTACTACTAAATCAACACGAAATGAATGAGCGGAATAAACAAAATTTTTATTACTGTAATGCAACTACTGTATTTAGTAATTATGACTTAAGCATAAACTAAATTCAGTAGGATGTTACAAAGAGAATGTGAAGGAACCTACCAAAATTCGGTTGAGCACCCTTTTTGGATCCTCTTCCACCATAGCATTAAAATCATCCAAGTTAATTTTAGAATAGGATGTTGCTTCAAGAGGAATGACTTCTTGGGTTAGGGGCGCTTTGACAAAATTAGGAGCTACCTGAGGTGAAGGTTCCTCCTCCCCAGATTGAAAATTCTCGATGTCAACCAAAGGTGAAGTAGGAGGTGACGTTGGTCAAGAATCAGAGGGTACCAAGAAAAAAGAAGTTAGAAAATAAACCTTATTGCTAAAAAAGAATTTTTGAGGAGTTTTAGATTCTTACTGAGGGAGCTTGCTCTAGTTGACGTTAGTCTTTGAAGTTCGAACTAGCTGAGCACGAAGTATCATCATCAAATGAAGACCCCAAACTCGAAGTTCCCGAACTTGATGAGGCAGTTTTCTCAGGTTCCTGCATTGAGCTATTTGTGGGCTCTTGTCAAACCCTTGGAGGGGAGTTAACACTTAGAGTGTTATTAATTAAAACCTTTCATGAAGAAGAGATTAAATCCTGCTCGAAAATTACACATTCAAACTCACCATCGAAGGATGGGAGGGATGCACAAGTGTCGAAGGTGTTGGCTGCATAGGAGTCAAAGTAACCATCTCGACATGAACCTTTGATTTTAAAGGATTCTTAGCCTTTGTGGGGATCTTGGCCTTGAAAGAGAAAAAGTAAGTCATAGAATAAAAAATATCTTGAAAAGATTGAGAGTGAAATCAAAGACGTTACCTTAGAAACTCCAGGAGTTGGTTGGGGTGCAGACGAAGAAGAAACTTTTTGAGAAGATTTTTGTTTCTTCTTGGGTGGCTCATCCTCCTTCCAATTTTCCTAGTCATATTGACCAACAAAAAGTTCTGTTGGAAGATCTGCAAGATGACAAGGTCCTAAAAAATAAGCAAAATATGAAAATTAAATAAAACCTCAAAGAAAAATAAGCAAAACCTTACCATCTTTAAACTTTGTAATGATTTTTACATCCTTAATTTTGAGGTGAAGATGATAAAAATATGTTTTAGAAAAAACCTCAAAGTTGTTACCCTACTTCGAGGAGGGGCTAAGTCATTCAAGAGGGTCGAGGGAAGATCCACCCATTTAGGAGAAACTATGGGCAAAGCTAATGCAAAATCACAAGTTGGTAAAGATGGAAAAAGTCTGGCAAAGTGATTGGAAGAAATTCTTTTCTAAGTATGTTCAAAAGGATGATATTCTCAATATTTATTCACTCTCTCTTTTGTTTTCTCACTTAAAGAAATAGCGGCTTCAAAAATAGTTTGAGATATTTTTCGAGGCAAATAAAGAACTTTAAAAAACCACTCAAAAGATTGGTTTTCTCGAATATACGTACCTCTCGTCTTGGCCTTTGGATCTCCCTTCTGCAACATAAATAAAGCGAATGTCATCTTATGATTGCACTCTTCGATTGAAATTTCATATTTTGGTAGTAGCAAGACTACCAATCTTGAAAAGATTGAGTATAGAAGAAAGAAGGCTCAAATCCTATAGACGAGATCTCTGGTTTGTGCTTCCTAAAGAAACTCGTTATTATTCAGGTGCTCAACATTTTTTCCAGCCCTATCTATTATAGCTCAATTGGACCCTTGAAACACAAAATATGGCCTCAATTGGTTAAGGTTGAATTATCGAGCCACTAAGTTGGGCTGGTAAGAAACCACTTGAATCAGTTTCAAAGTAAAATTGTTGAAAAGAAGATGACAACTGAGGAATTGCCTCCAAATACTCAACCCCTTAGCTTGGGCACCAGGTGTGGTCGAAGGAAAAGGATGTTTGAACCAAACTGGCCCATTCTTTCGAGATGAAAAAAGGGCTAATTGAGGGGTAAAATCTTAAAGATCAAGGAAAAGAGAAAAATAATGTTGAAAATCATTAAAAGAGTTTTTTGGCAACCACAAAAGTAAGGAAAGTAAGACAAAACTCCTCAATATCTCGGGAAATATTTTGAGGTTTAGAACTCTGCAGCCTACACTCAAAGATAGCATTCAGCCAAAGTTGGAAGAACCAAAAAAGGACCACTCAGGACTGGAAGACAATCCTCAGACTTAAGGAAGGAGATAGCCTTATTTAGATTTTTGTACAAATTTCCTAAGATAAGTTTCCCCAAACATAGGGGATTCTTTGTACAAAAGTTGGGCAAGAGGAATAAAGGTCTTCGAAACTTGAAGGGATCTTGAGCAAAATACATATGCCGAGAGGCAGAACATGAGAAAAGCAACATGTTCTTCGTCAAAAATAGGACTATCTTTGTTCATGTTTATGGAAATGAAAAGTTGATAGGAGAGTTTCTTAAAGTCAGGAAGAATGTGTGGATTTTTAGGAGCAAAGTCTGGTCGAAATGAACTACTCTTTGACTTGTCTCTATGAAGACTGATATAATAACTTTATTCTTTGTCGAAAAAGTCACATTTCGAGGAATTCTAGAGAATCACAAGGAGACCCTCACCCCTCAACAAAAAAGGTCATATTTCGCGTAATTTTGAAGGATCACAGGAAGACCCATTCTTTGTTGAAAAGGCAACCTTTCAAGGAGTTTCTAAGAATTTTCAAATTCTTGGACAAAAAATAGTCAAAATTGGTCAAAAAATAGGGACTAACAAGGAAAAATATTCTAAGTCCATGAGACTAAATGAACTCCCATAATCTTCCTTGGAATTGGTCAAAAAATAGAAATCAATGGAAAAATTAATGAGATCCCAGAATTGGTCGAAAACAAAGGATAATAAGGGATTTACTCTAAGTCCACAAAAGTTTTGGACAAGTTTCCTCACAATTGTCAAACATAACAAGAAATTTATTCTAAGGCCAAGATGCAAGGTGGAGTCCAAGAGGTGAGGAAACATGATAAAAAATCACAAGGATTGAACAATGTTTAAAGGGGTTACCAGCGGTTACTACTAGTTGAAAGTCATAAACACGAAGGAAAGATCGTAGGCACAAAAAGTTGATTGTGGGTAACAACGGTTCTTGAGAAGGCACAATCATCAGCACGATCATAAGCAGTTAAAGATAATGGGCAACAGCGATTAAAGACAATCTCGCATAGGAAACAGTTATCAGAAAGTGCATGCGAAAAGAGGAGAGCAGTTGAGGAGCATTGCTTATAAATATTACGAAACTTCACATTTCAAAGAACGACTTTTTGCACCTAGATACCAGCATATAAAATTCTCTGCACCTAGCTATACACCGGCAATCAGAGGATTCACTATTTTGTTATCCACTGTGAAGAGTCATACATTACATTTCAGTCATTTACTTTTCACATTTTATATTTCTGCAATTTAGTTCGAGTTGTTTATTCTTAATTCACTTTACATTTCCGTTCTGGTTCTTTTTTGCATTTAGTTTATTATCATTTCATTGTTTACTATATCTGCTGCCTCTATTAGTTATTAATTTTGGCTAACAGCGTTAATTCAATTGTTATATTATGACATAATTAAAAGAACTCAAGAAGACTTAAATTTCAGTCTCTAGATTGATCTTTATTTGTTTGCGATATGCAATTTTCACTATAAATAATGTCTCAAAAATTATTGGTGATAACTTATCATTTGCAATGGATTCGATTGTACAATGCTTTTTTAGTTTAACATGTCGACTTTGAGTTGCAAGTTACAACTCATATACTTAGACTTCTGATTTATGAGAACATGCTGGTCTCGAAAATTGATTTCTAAGAATCTGTCTATATTTATCCGTGCATAAATTTTAAGATTCAATTAATAAATTTTCCAACATAAATGTATTAGCTTAATTGATTCAAGGCCCATTTATTTTTCTTCAATGATTTAACTTTGTAATAAACAATTTTAAATATAATTTATGGATTTAATTGAGAAAATTGACTAAAAAAGTCAAAATATAAGTTGATTTTAATCTGGTCTAAAAAATCTCTCGACCCTAAACCGTGTAGACTCACCCAAAATTAAATTGTTACCTGCTAAACTGAAAATCGAATTACCCAATTCTTTTCACTAAGTAGATTAAGTTAGAAATACCATACATAGATTTAGTTAGATTGGGCTTTATTGGTCGAAAGCGATCGAACCCACCCAATAATCAATCATATTTGTTATTATGATTTAAACATAACATTCATATTAAAATATTGAAGTATTTTAGTGAATGTTTAGATCAACATTTGCAAAAACTTGAATTTAAATTAAATTAATTTTGTAAAATTAGTTTTTAAATGTAAATTAATATAATTTATAATTAAAATATTTTTCTTAAAAGTAAATTTAAATGTTAAACTTAGTAACTCAGTAAAAAGCTAATTTATTACATCTATTGATACATGAGTTTAGAGTAAAGTTTGATTCAGACCTACCGAATATGTTAACACAATAATCAAATCATGTTTATTTCTATTTAACGTAATTATGAATATACAATCGTATTTGGAAATTACTCAAAACATACCCTAATCCATAGATTTACAGTCAAGTGATGAAAATTAGATTCCCTAATTTACATGGTTTAGGACTACCAAAGCCACAAACAATTCAGGGATTTAGAGTACATCGGATGGTCTACATCCGGTTTTTCTGAGAAGGAAGATGAAAAACGACAACCAGTACATCAAACAAATTAAGTTAACGGATCATCGTTACTGTTTCACTTAGCTAAGCCAAAAAATTTGTAATAGCTCTGAAGGATATAATAAATATGTACATCTCCAATTTCTTACCACACCTTCGAGCAACTGCAAGCTGCAAATGACTAGATTTTCCTACGAACATATAGGTCCAATTACTAGGCTGATAACAAGAATCTAAACCTAATGCAGTGTTTAAGATGGGAAATAATGAAATAAACGGCCAAATGAATCAAGTTTTGCTACTTGGTCCACATTGCAGTCAGGACCATAATTGTGCAATTGTCTGTATTTCAAGCTCCCTATGCTTTTGCTTCCACTGCTAAAAATGAACCAAATACCAACCATATATTTCCAACGCCTCTTGCCAACAATGTGAACTCTAGATTGATATTGCATCCAAACTTGTTTTATATCTCAGCATCTCACTCGGACAAACCCAAGAAGAATGCCGGTGCAAGCAACCATATAACTGCCATTCCTTATTCTTGTGGTGGCTGTGGTCTAATGCAGAGTCCTCTCCTAGTCAGTGAATGAAGAATGGATCATCAGCCATCTGTTGTTATAAATGTAATTATGCAATGAGCAACTGACAACGTGTGCCTTTCAAAGTACAAACTCTGGTATGCGTCCTTTTGTGTCCATAGATTTAGGTTCCCTTGGCAGCACCAGGATTTCGACCAAACTGGATGATCATTGGCTTGCCTTTAAAAACATATCCATTCACTAGATTCTGCAGCCAATGGTATTATGCAATGTAAACCATTACTAAGACAAAAAGGAAAACAATTTGAAAAATTAATTTTTATCAGCACGGTTCATGAAAATTAGGAATATTATTACCATGTCAACCTGCAGGTGCTGCAGTAACAATCTTGAAAAAGGCTAGAGCCATTTTCTTATTTATTTCTGCAGGCTTAATTTAGTAGTAAAAAAAATTGTTTTTCTCAATTTGCTCTTTCATTTTATTTTTTTAATCAAACAAGTCTCTCATAAAAGATCATGAACTTTTTTTTGGTTCCTCTAAATATCACCATTTTTCCATTTGGGGTACAAATGAGAAAAATAAGAACAAAAGGAACAAAATATTTGATGGAGAACTCATTAAAAAATATTGAACCTTAGAGATCAAATGGAAAAATCATGAACATTCTAGGGATAAAAACTTAATTAAATCATTTCTTTATTTTATCATATTTTGCAAGTTTTATGACAAAAGAAGAATAGACACTATAAGACAAGAAAAACCTGAAAACATATAATCTTGAATAAAACATCATTTTTTAACAAGAAATTTAACAGAGTAAAACTAATCTCCCCCGAGAAAAATACCAGAGCATGATGAGCCAGTTCAATTGAGGGGAATGTTACAAAAGCTTGACCCCGCATCCTTCCTTCCTGAAAATAAAAAATAGGAATTAATTTTCATGTTCATGTATATGCTTCTAGAAGACTTCCATGGAAACATAAATACTGGTTAGTTGAGTCATCACTCAGGACTAGGAGTCAGGATCAACAAACTCACAAGTGTGTATATTAACTGGATCATTTTTACAACAAGCTAATATTAATTTTTGATCTCTTCATGCGTAAATGACATCAACAGAAAAATTAGGTCATTGAATAATCAAGATCTTGCCTGCATCAGTTTGACTTGAAGACCAGACTTAGCAGCCTCAATACTTCCAAACAGAGACCCTGTAACAATAAAAGATAAGGTAAACTGTGATTTTAACATTCATACGGTAGCATTTTGAAAATCTCAAAGTATTTGGTGATTCCATTATATTTCATGTTCGGATAGTAAAGCATTCAAATTACAAATATTAAACAAAAGCTGAATCCAGTAAAAGTTGAGAGCTCACCAAATATCAAATAGAAATCATCAGCAACCACATCTTTTGCCAAATTCTTAATGTACAACACAGGGGCCGGATTTCCAGCTGTATAGCTCTGCACAATCCATCAGTTCAGAAAAAAATCTCATAAAACATACATTTGATCACGTCAGATGCTCTCACAAATCAAATTATTTCCACACCACAAAATTAAGCACAAACACTTAAGTACATGCTCATAAGGAAACATATACCATTAGACAATATAATGCATCAGATGTATTTAGAGATCAGTAATGGCAACTTTCAATTAGTTTAATCACTTCATCATCTAGAATTCAGTAAGACAGTACTCACTGATAACAAAAGAAATTAAGAAAGGTCCGGTGATGCAATAAGACTTAAGAGTATGTAAAAGGAAAATTATCCAGAAGTAAGAGTTTCTACTGAGTGTTGAAACTACATCAATTATATTGCCAAAGAAAAGCAGGGAGCTTCAAAAAGATCAAGAATGGGGACTCCAAGTTTCTCGATAATTTATTCCCAGATTGAGCTCACAAAATGGTTTCTATTGTAGAGACAGTATAGTCACTAGGGTAAACAATCTAAATCATATGCTTTTTTCACCATTCATTTCCTCTTTTCACAAACAATTACAAAAATTTTTCATTTTATTTTTTGTTTTCAAATATTTGTACAAGAAATAGTTTCCGTAGGGGGGGGGGGGAAGAAATGAAAATAGAAAACAATTTCCCAAATCAAAGAAGCCCTATGTTTACAACTTACATCTAACTGCATTTATCCTTCTATTAAAATCAAACATTCAAATTCTTGTGCAAATTTTGGTAGATATTATCATTCACCAAAGTGAAGAAATACTGAGTGTAGGACTGGAAAATGACATTGTGGTATAAATTATATCCAGCTATTGAACATTAATATAATATACAACATAACAGGAGGCAAATTTGTTAAGTGTGTTTCTTTGGATAACATGTTTGTATATATAGTTCTCAAGAAGGTCGTTCTTATTTATAAACAAATGCAGAACAGGACACTAGCACTGTAGCAGTATTTAAAAGCCACAATTAGTTCCCAGCTGCATAATAACAAATTACGATTTTTTGAGGTTGACAACAATTGCTTTTGATCCAACTGGCAGATACTAAATTGGGAAATTAATTTTGTCTCCATCATGCATTTACTACTAAAATGGTAGAAATTTTACACCAATACCTTAAACATTGGAAGTGATAAGATTTCCTCGGGAGGCAACTTTCCTCCCTCTAATTCATCTGGAGTAAAAAATTTGTTAGGATCTGGAATATCTTTTTCTGGCTCTTGTGACTCTTCTGCTGTGTCATCATCTTTCTGTGCATTCAGGGTTGCTTTGGGAGCAATTTTTATCTGAAAAATCACAAAGCAAAAAAAAAAAAAAAAAAGTGTAAAAAACAATGTCACAGTGCTCCAGAAATCAATCTCTGGCAAAAAAGATACCTTTAAGACAGGATTCCTTTTTATCACTGGGATTTCTTTCGGGACCAAGGTGGCTGGTTTTACTCCAACAGACTCATGAGCCACACCTTTATCAATGGCAGGGCCAACAATGGTCTCACGTCTAGCACGCTTCTGTCCAGACTTTCCTGTTCTTGCTCCATCCTCCTAATAAATTTTTATCACAATCCTTTGATAACAAGTTTTACGAAAAAAGAACTGGGGGGGGGGGCAGTAAACTACTAATAATGACACCATATTCCTAAAGTTTTGATATACATTTACAGAATAATCTATGTATTATATCAGGACTCAAGATGAAGGTGCAGCACAAGCATATTCTATAATGACAAAAGGGTAATTTCTATGAAATATTATGTTAAAGAAAAGTACATAACATTATGCCTGTAGCTGAATTTAAATAAAGAAATGCTTATACCAATTTTGAAATATTAAGGCAATCTGCCCCTTATATGCAGTTATGCAAAGGAAGGAGCATTGTAAGCATAAGTATATCTGTGCCTTTATGTTTCAACAAGAATGTTTTCAAATTGAATGACAATGGGGAGGTGCAGCTAACCATGTTCTGTAGTGATAATGATAGAACCTATGGTTCTAATGCTGATGCAGCAAAGGATATAGCAAGGGAAAAGGACCAGACACTGGGCCAAAAACTAAAAGGGCCCACAATATGGAAGGCTTATTCTATAAGGAATAAGGGACCAAGAAAGGTTAGCTAGCTGAGTTGGTAGGTGACTAGCAACTGGGGGAAATGATTCATGTGATTTTGTGGGGATTTAGGAGGTTGTGTATGCATGGGAGTGGGGGCTATGGACATTGTAGTAATTTTGGCATATAGCTGGGCAGAGAATATTTTATTCTGAAGAGTGTAGGCTCTGGTTTTCCTTAAAAGCTCTTCAGTGTCCCTTTCAAAATCTCTCTAGACCAGAATTCTCTTCTGGGTTTCTGCATTGATCTGACCTGCCAGATTCAGTGAGGAGCCTTCACTGTTAGTTGATGTATATTGTCCATGCCACCCAAGACGTTTGACAGGTGGAAGCTTTGGAGGCAAGATAAGCTAATTTGGAGGATGGAATGGGAGATATCCAATCTACCTTTGCAACCAGGTTGCTGGAAATGAAGCAGTCCTCAGTCCTCAGTTCAAAAGATGAGTAAAATGATTGGAAAAGTTCAGATGATGTGAATGGTGGTGCTTCCTCACAACAAGGAGGACCATTGTCTTCAGGGAGAAATCTCCCAAGCAAGCAGAACCATTGGAATGATTGGATGATAACATGGAAGACTGATGTCAATAGGAAGGTTGAATCACCCATGTTTAACAGTTCTAATCCAATGGGATGGAATGGCAAAGTAGAAACACACTTTGAACTGCAATTGGGGGAATGAGAAGGTTTATTCTATAAGAAATAAGAAGGGCTTGGTAACAAGTTAGTTATCTGAGGTGACAGGTGGCTAGCAATTGCCAATTGGGCTAAATGATTCATGTAAGCAAGGGGGGGAAATTATATTAAATAAAAGTAATAAAATTAAACTTGTAGCTGAATTATTTGGAAAGAATATATATAAATCTTTTATACCAATTCTGAAATATTTAGCCAGTCTGTGCCTTATATGTAGTTATGCAAAGTATGCAAGCATAAACAAGAAATTTAGGCTCCATAGGTTTGATCCCTTGGAAGCTGTGAAGATGTTACCTCATCTGAAGATTCCATCTCTGATTCATCGCCAGACAAATCTGCAGACCGAGGATTCATCACAGTTATAGGAGGAGGAGGTGGAGGTGGTGGTGGGGCTGGTACTTCTGGAGGTAATGGAGGTGTCGGCAGTGCCATTCGAAATGGAGCTGGAATGTTCATTTTGTTCATCAAGTGTAGAACCTATATTAGAGAGGTCCAATCAATATGATCACTATTCTATAAAAAGAGCATACAGAAAAATGCTACAGGTGCTGGAAAAAGAAACTAATAAATATTATCATCCTCATTTGATACGGGAATAACCTGAGTGTAAAAGCGGGGAACAGCAATTAGAGCATTCACAATGTTGGTCAGTATATTTCCATCAGGTGGAGGGTAAGCATACCTGAAAAACAAGTTTTGTTAGACTACACGAAAACTGGAATAATATTTACGATACCTAATAGTAAAGGTAAACATATTTAATAATCTCAAATTCTTTTTATTTAGTAGCATAACACTAAAAGCTAATTCAAATCAGTAAGAGTTTACAATGAAATACCATTTAGTAAATTATCCATTTCCACCAATGGCCAAATCTAATATCTAAGGCAATAAATGGGCAGAAATAATCACCAGAAATCTAGATCTTTGATATAATAATTGAAACAAGAAACTGCTTCGCTTGATACATTATTTATTTGTAAGCAATAAGAAAACACTCAAAACAGAAACAGATATTAAGGGAGAATAGAAAAATTCAAAGGAAGAGGGAGAGGATTAGGGAGAACATATACATCATAGATTGCTTATTCTCAAAATCATTCTCTATTCAACACACTTATACTTGCATAGGAGAATGCTGTCAAGTAAAATGGGTTAGCATGACATTGCCCAGCCAAATTGGACCGTTACATCAATTGATCTATTGCAACAAAACTCTCAGAATAATGCTTTCAAATTGATTCAGACTCTGCCCCCATCAACCTCAAAAATATATGTAACCATGGATTTCAAGCTTTTCCACTGAGTTTACAATGACTTTCTTTCCTGCCTTCACATTTCATTTTATTTTGTCAAATCATCTTCCATATTTGTGCACCAGCTGGCACCTAGCAGCTCTTTAGCATCCTATTGCAATAAAGTAATAAATACTAATGACTGCAAAATGAGAAGCAGCAGCATACTCAAGATGAGGAGGAAATGGATAATCAACACCAAGTCTATCAGCAATTGGCTGAGGAATAGGGTGGCCTCCTGATTTTGTATCTCCATCAATAGGTTTGGTTACAGTTTCATTCTTCACCACCGATGTTTTAGAGTCCTTTGGTCCACTGCTTTTTCCACCATTCTCAATTGGGTTATTAGCTCTCTCTGCTAGCAAGACTTTACCAAGAAATCTCAACCTGGTCAACCACAGCAAAACAAAGATACAATCATCCACCGCATTCAGTTGCTGAACAACTTTACGATTTTATTGTTAACTTGTTATGAATTTACCGGTATGTCGTTTCTTTATAATGTTGCAAAATCATAAATTAATTACAGAGGATATCAGAATATTACAACCTAAAGCCAAACAAGACAACTGCTCAAATACATAACCAATTTTTTTCAATATTTGAGAGAACAAAAAAAAAATGAAAACAATTCAAAAAATAATACCCATTTAGTTGCTGTTGTGCTTGAGATGCCACCATGTCATTTTTGAAATCCACAAAAGCACAATTTCTCAACCTGCATTCGATCAAGCAATTAAGGTCAAGGCATCATTGACATTATTCAATAACACAAATAAATCACAACAAACAACACAAATTGGCCAAATGCCTATCAAGTTCTCCATGCCATTGAATAAGCATGCATGAGTGACTTGAAAGCACCACCAAGGACAAAAGTAGCACAGTTTAACAGTAAGCTATTAGCCAGTTGGTACTTTAGTTAATAAAAATGAGTTAAAAACTGAGGCTCGCAATGATATCAACATTGAAATATTTCTCACACTTTATAAATACTCTAGGAAACTGATATCATTATCACAACGCAATATTCATCAAAATGTTAAGCTTCATCATATTCATACACTTATGACCTTCAAGTCTGACACCACCTTCTCAAGCCACATGCACTTAAATACCTTCCACTACAGCAAGGCCGAACCGAGGAAGCGCCAAAATTGGATAGGATTCGAGAAAGTGTGTCATGAGGAATGGCTTCAGGAAGGTGCTTAATCAAAAGGGTGACCGGTGACTCCACAACACTGGGCATTGACTCTGTGCCTTGTAATCCAAACTGCATGTGGCCACGAGTGGAAGAATTGCTAGCCATGAAAAGTACACAATTGCCACTTTCTCTTTCCTGTCATAGAGGACATAAGATGTGATGCATGCAAACAAACAAAATTCGAATTTCAGAATAAACCATACTAGTCTTGCACAAAACCTCAGCCATTCAATCTTTCTTTGCTTCAGAAAACATAGAAAATCGAAACCCCTTTTCACCATCACTTTACCTTCAAATTTTCTTGAGAAAAAAATGAAAAAGAAAAAACAAGAGCAGAATAGAAAAGGGTGCGCACAAAAGGCTTTATCCACTAGCAATTGCGAATCCCAATTCTCAACCCTTTTGGGAAGAGAATGAATTAGGTACACTACCTCTTTTTCTGGGTTCCACAACAATGAAGGGCGAAGGCTGCTACACCGACGATTGGACTACGATGGCGACGAAGCTCCGACAGCTCCGCGGCGGCGAGGTACTCTCCTCTGATTTGATTGCTCTTCGCGGCAGAGGGAGGAACTTCGAAGTTTGGAGTCGGGGAGCTGCAACTGAACTACAAATGGCATGCCATGTAAAACGACGTCGTTTTCATAGCAAAAATGTCAAGGGAAAAACGACCTGTGGCATTCGGGACGTCGGCAAAATTCGTGTCTTTGAATTAAGATACTGGGAGCATGTTAAATACTGTATTTTAAACATTATTTAACTAATAGCTTTTCTTTTATCTTATAAACCCTGAAGCTATCTCATGTTAGTGATCAAAATCATATGCCAGAAACTGCTTAACAATATAAAAATAAATAAATTGATGAGTATCGGATATTATAATCATATAAATAAATGACCATTTAGCTAAAAAATAGATGAAATGCAAAATAAAATAAAATAAAATAGATGGAATATAATAGGTTTTATTTAACAAAAAATTACGAAGATAATTTCAATGGACAATTTCGAATATATATATATTGGAGAGGGTAAACATTTACAATAATAAGTTTATTAAATAATTGTTCTTTATTTTTTATGTTGAATTTAAACTAATTTAAATTTTTATGTTCTAAATACTTGATGGATATTATGTTGTGTAATTAATTATTTTATTGTGTTTGAAGGTTGATTTGAGTTTAATTGAATATTTTATTTGGTATATTTTATAATTAAAATATAAAATAACATTTTTGTTTAACTCGAATGTGTGTAATGGATATAGATCAAGTATTTATATATATATATAAAGTACATAGATGAGAATAAAAGTGCTACTCGCGAGTAATTGCCGACTATCAATCTGACTATAGGTAATCTTACAAGAAGTGAGTTCAAGGACAAATATTATAATAAGCATATTGTCCAAACAATACTCAACAAAATCCATGATAATCATATTGAATTTAACTCTTCTAAAGTAAGAAAGTAAAAAAATTTATTTCGCTAATTTAAATTCAAATATAATTAACTTAATATTAATAATAATTTTTTTCCTTTTTACTTTACATTTCACGTCATTTTAAAAAGTAAAATCTTAATCACAAAAAATTTCATGCCAATAAGATCCTAATTATTGTCTAAATTTATCATAGCTCAGACTGCCAAATAATTATGCCAATATGTTTCGACTATAAATCCACAGAGGGGCAAAGAGGGAAGATTCACTCTTCAGTCTCTTAAACTGGACCTAGATGAGTTAATTGTTCCTATTTGAGTTCGGTCACCAAGAACCATACGTGAACATTGACATTTACATGTAGTTGTTGTAAAATTTTCCTGAGCAACACGCACCTTTGACCCCAAACCCTGACTTCACCAGAAAGAGTTCACAAGAAGAGATCAATCTGGTTTCCTTTTGCCATATATACAACGTCAAATTTAGGCTCATCATGGGTTGGATTGATACAAACTCAATCTAAATCTATTTTAAATTCAATTATATGAATTGTATTTTACATTAATTTATTTTTTTAAAATTGATTTTAAACTTTGAATTTAATTTAAATTCAATTTTGGTTCAACCTGGTTTTAAAATTGGTTTCAATACTTCTTTAAATTTGATTTAAATACTACTTGTTTTAAATGTCAACAAAAACAAATATAAAGAGGAAAAGCAGTGCGATTACAATGCATCATAGTATTATTACAAGTACAGGGCACTTGACTTTTATTTTGTTGATGTTCTACATGATTTCAAATAAAAGATTACAATTAGAACATATGATACAATGCAGGAAAAAGAACATTATACTTATTTTAAATTTAAATTACTTCCAACTTAAGTACATAGTTTGGCATATTAAATTGAAATCATTCGTGTCATTCAGTCTGTTTCTCATTCTCATTACTAAATATACAAGACAAATATATCTTTTCTCATTGGAACCAAAAGATAAAATTTTACACATTTGTGCCATGCTTCAGTAGAGCAGTATATCAGATTGCCTATATTATATTTAGCATTCAGACCTTGTCCTCCAGTATAAGCTATATGCTTTTTCTTAAATCAATAATCTCGCATATATTACTTTATAAATGTCCAAGCAAAATATGAACTTCACATGACAGAGCACTCAGAAGACCAGAAAGAATGCCACTATGCAGAACCACACCTCTCAACCTTGGTAATTTAGCTGCCAAGTGCAGTGTTGGTCCACTCCCAACCGATTGCCCATACAAGATTACATCTTCTTGGCTAACTCTATATTCAGTTTCAAGGCATTCATATTGCCTCTTGTCAGCATATGTGCTGGATTCACTAGGCTGTATATAATTTGAAAGAATAGGTATCACATATCAATAACATGGTACCCAAAAAATTTATGATACAGAAATTACCATTTGTATTAATTAGACACATGTCATTACATAAATTGAAAATTCCATAATGTCATCAAACTGATCAAACCAGAGGTTTAGTATCATGAGCACTGTATTGTATTAGTTAATGCAGATGTACACACTGCTATTTCAAGGATATTATACCATAAAATCTGAAAGTTCCAGTCTATTTTTTCTGCAGGTTGCATGGTATATTAGTGGAATGTCGAATAACATTTAAACATATGTTTATAGCAACATTTTTGTCTGGTCACAACCAACAGGATCATCTCTCCCCTGATGTAACAAATTTGATATCACAAATTCAGCACAATTGAGAGTGCACATGAAATAGCAATCTAGAATATCATAAAAATTGTACCATATGATTTTGCAACAATTACACTCCATGGTGTCATCAATAACAAAAATAAATAAGAGAAACACTTCCTCTTTCAAAAACATGTACATGAGAGAACCACATCATTGATCGCTTATTAATCAAATTGTCTAGACTCTTAAGGACAATCCTCAACATATCAGCAGCAAATATAGGTGAATCAAATAGTATAAAAGTCTACAAGATTTATGCAGAGTTTCCCCTATGAAAAGAGGAGCTGCTCATGCAGTTGTGACTAAAACTAGTAATCACTCCTAGGGCAAAAGGACCACCCTCTAAAATTTTAAGAGGTGTGTTGTTACAATAATAATTGATACCATTTTAAGTCATTCAATTATTTATTTATAAACAAAATAATATAAATTTGACGAACCCAAGAAAAATGGTTAAACAACCTTATATTATCCAAGTTAGTAACTATGAGAATATCATGAAATTGAACCAGAACTTGTCAACTATAAAGAGCAGATTAAATTGCAAGGATTCCTGTGTCCCTAACGAAGTAGCGTGTCTATTGTTCAAATAAGTTTCTTAATAAATATTTATCTCATTTCTTTACTATCTCCTGATGTGCTGTTGTTGCAATGGCACCAAACTTGAATGTAGATAATCAGAAAGAACACGTAGAACATAAACAACATTTTGGAACACTTTGCAGCTTAATTATATATTTCACAGGCACAAACTTCAACAAAAATTTACGTTTGATGTATAGAATGTGTTTAAAGATGAAGTCATAGAAAACTAACCCTTTCTACATAGTCTCCAAATGATCTTGCTGTCTTATCAGTGGCATTCACCACAAATTGGAAAAAATTGTGTGGGTGGTGGGTCGCAGGAGTTAACTAAAGCGTACCCTCATTAACTAAAGAGAAGAGAAGTGTACTTAGTATATAGGATGAACCTGTGATCACATGAAGAAGAAATCTGGTTTTGTTAACCCAAATCCGGTTTCGCTAAATGAGATCCAAAAAGAAAGTGGGTTGGGTACCCATTTTTTTTTTTAAAATCTAAATTTTAAACCTGTTTGCCTTGCGTTATAGGGTTATACAGTGGGCCTTTATACCGGGTTTCTCTCAAATCCTAACAAGTCTTACAGCCAATATCAAATCCCTTCTAGAGATACCTAATGAAACTCAACTTGTTGAAAACCAATCACTGTAAACAGGATGTTTACAAAATAAAATAAAATAAATATTACACGTATTTCCTAAAGTTAATTCGTTTGCATATGTTTTATTTTTATATAATAAAAGTCAACTAAAATTAACTTTGGTGTAAAATACTTTAATTCTATTTCGGTCGGTCTATGTCAAAAGTTGAGTAAAATTATTTTACTTATAAGATACAAGTTGATTATAATCGACTTTTGTGTGTGAGAGAATATATGTAAGAATTTGATTATAATCACTTAGTATACATAGAGAAATCAATTATAATTAACTTTTGAGTTATCATAATTTTTTGTTAGTGAAATATATTAATCATTATTTTATTACTTTTTTTCTCCATTATTTATAGTTTTTCTATTTGTTGGGGCAAAGAAAAGAGTTTCAATGGATATTAATGGAAGAACAACATAAAAGTGGAATAAGAAAAATGTTGTTGAAGTTCCTCTCGAAATCATCACAAGCTCCTATTCCTAAAGAATAATGTGAAATTTTTAAGTGGATATTGTAAGAGAAAAAAAATTGAAACCTAAGAACCTTGTAAAGAAAAAATAAATCAATGAAGAAAAGATTATTCTTAAACAGTTATTCCATGCAAAGTCAATAACAAAGTTTTAACTTCCAGTCTTATTCTTTAACATAATAATATCTGCAACAAATTATAGATAGATAAACTATGAGTTTAATTAATGGATAGATAGTAAGTACAATTATGTTGCTTTGGAAATAAAGCTAAAATTTTAATTACAATAGAGGGTAAAAAAGTAAAAATTTTAAAATATCATATTTGATCTCCTAAAGAATTTTAGAAGCACATAATTTGAGTTTCAAGACCTAGTGACTATTGCTAACAAATATACACCTAAAAAATATGTTGCCAAGCCAACCTACATCCTGTCTACACTCTAACTATAGAAATTGATAATTGAAAAATCATTATGCTTCTTGTGATTTTTGTTGTCCATTCCAAGTAATTATGTGAGACTCATCCTATTGCTTTACTCAAAGCTTTAAGATACATACATCTACAAATAAATGTGTGTATATGAAAATATTAATGTATAGTTTCTTTTTGTAATTTGATTCACAAATATGTTTTGTAAATTGGGATACATGTTTTCTTTTGATTATTTTATAAATAAAATATACTTTGAATTCTTAGTAATCATTCTAGTT